TTCCCTACTTCACAGGTAACATATGGTGTATGACACAGAAGTGAGATCATGGGTAGAGCGCTCCTAGCGTAGATCTGACATATGGTAGATGCTCACCACATGTACATTCCTGCCTCTCCTAACCTAGTCCTTTCCACCTTCTCAGCTCAAGAAAACTCAGTCACCCAGCCAGCATTGCTTTCCTATAGCAGCCATTGTCACTAATGTTGTGTGGCCATATGTAATTTACCCTCTTATTGGGTTCCAATTATTTAATTATTATAATTAGACCAAAAAAGAATTTCTTTGTGCATAAGCTTCTTCTGCATTCTTCTGCATTCTTCTGGGTTCTTTCCCTGGGGTTAAATCTCAGAAAAGAAGTTACCATGGAAAATGGTATAAACACCTTAAATGTTTACATTTTCTCACACATCAAATGGACTACTAAAAACACTTTTACACATTTTTTTAAATGAATAAATGCCTATAATGTATAAAAACATTTGTTGCACTGTTTTATTGCCAAACTGGGTATTTGCATTTAAAAACAGGACAAAAAAGAACAACTGTTAATTTGATAGGCAAAAATGATAACCAGTTTTCTTAGTTAGTATGTGTGATTACCTGTGACAATGACTGCTTTCAATGCTTATTTACCTTATCTGTTTTTTCTCTCTGCTTCATTTGTTCACATCCATTGCTCTTTTGTCAGCAGTGGTGTTTATATTTCTCTTACTGATTTACAAGGGGAACTGACCTGTTTTAAACAACTACTACAGTCACCATTAGGTGGGTAGCAAAGGGCAGGTAGGGCATGGAAAGGTACAGTCTGTGTTAACAACACTCTTGTTAGAGGAAAACCTTTTTATAGCTGTTGGATCATGAGAAAACTATCAGTTGGGAAATTAGAAAACAATACCGTTTGTTTTTCTTCTTCTGTATTTGCAATTTTTTCGTGAAGACAGAAAAGTATCAAACCATGAACAGTAGTCTGCATCCTTCTTCGGTCAGTGGTTGGAATATGCACCCTGTCATTTAATCTCCCAGTTAACACCTTCAGTCAGGTGTTCTATCCCTTTAGGAGGAAACAGAGGCTTGGAGAGGCAAAGTGACTTGTTTTGGAGTAAATAGTACTTGCCCAAGATTTTATAGCAGTGCACAACAAAGGCAGAGTCAAGACCCAGCGGCTATGACTACAGAACTTAGCCTGTCTTTCCAGTACAAGGGATTTCATACCCCTTGTACAAAACCAAAGGGGGCCAGGACAGCAAGTCAGGGCCTGGTTCACACAGACAACATCCGCAGTCTACACCCCACCGCCCCCATCAGGTCTACCAGCAAGCACTTGGAAGCAGCTTGTAACCGCACATAAAGGTCACCACTAGACGCCTCCTCCTGCTCTGCGTTGGTGCCCCAGGGCACAGTGGCTGAAGTGCCCAGGCACAGGAAGCTGTCCCGGCCGCTTTTCCACCACACAGGCCCTCCTTAGCCTGGGAACAGGGGAAGGAACAAGATAGGGGCAGTAGAGGATGGAGAAAAGGACCTGAGATTGTGCAGAATGTTGCTGTCAAGTAACAGGAAACCAGCTGCTCGGAGGCTGCTTTCATAAGGCAGCTGTGAACAGCCAAGCAGGGCAGAGCTCACGCACGGCAAGGGGCATGGTAAATAACTGACTTCCCAGTAGGGTTTGATGGTTTTCCTGCGCTAAGGCTGGTAACTTCGGGGCATCCCAGAAAGGCGCAGGCCAGGTCTGCCACCTGCCCCGCACCTGTTCACAAAGGCGCTTAAGAGGTGAGTACCTGGAAGCTGCAATGGGCTGGCTGACCCGTCAAACCTGACACTCCGCCTCCAAAGACACCCCCCACCCCCGAGTGGCACCACCCGTCTGCTACTCACCAAGAAGGAGGCCGGTGTGAAATAGGAGGACCTGGGTGGAGAACCAGAGGCTCCCGAAGGAGTCCATTGCTGCTGGCTTGACCAAAAGCTGCCCTCTCCGCCGCCACTCCCTTCCCTCCCCCTTCCCTCCCCTCCTCCCCTCCTCCCCCGCTTTATTCTTCCCCTTCCGCAAAACCAGAGCGAGCTGGGACGGAGGGCAACCCCGTGGGGTTTCACAAAAATGAAAAATTATCCAGTGATAATGTACATAGTATATCTTTGACCAGATTAATACTCTATTCATGGTTGGAAAAAATATTTTGTATGCGGTACAGAAGTACACTGATTAAATGTAAATAAAAATACATATATTTTTAAAATCTAAAGGAAATACTCAGTTTTAAATAAGGATATTTCAGGGGCTGGGAGGCAGTAGGGTGGTTGAGGTGCTGGACTCCCACATGGCTGACCCTGGTTCAAGTTCCTAACTGGTGGCCCCAAAATCACAACAAATAGATGAGTAAATAAATGTTTTTTAAAAATACAAAGGAAACAAGGATGATGACAGTCATGACTTTTGTTTGCTATATATAAATTTGGAAAACAAAATTATGAGTAAAAAGCATTTGTTAGCACGCCTCACAAAACCAACCGTAAATATTCTTGTGCAGTTCTTCTGGTTATGTTTTCCTGTGTTTTTCTTTCTTTCTTTCTTTCTTTCTTTCTTTCTTTCTTTTTTTCTCTTTTGTTTTGTTGTTTGTTTTGTGTGTGTGTTGATGTAAAAGAGAGAGAGGTATTTTTGACAGGGTCTCATCATTACAATCCTCAGACTGGACTCCCAAGGAGCTTTCCCCCTGGCTCTAGACTTGCTCATTTGGAGGTGATGCTCTTAATGCCCCCCTGCCCACCCCACTTTTGGGAGGGGGTGCTGAACCCCCTGTGCATGTTAAGGTAAAAAAAGACTATTACTATATAAAGTAATAGTCCCCAAAGTGTTAGGTAAGATGATTGTGGTACAAGAAGAAGTGGGTGTATGTGTGTGTGTGTATTTTTGTTTACAATCAAAAAGAAAGAACCCTTTGTGAATATGTCATCAATTTTCCCTAGCACCCTGGTTTGGTCAGTCACATATGTGAACTACCCCAAGAGATGAGTGTAAGACCCCAAGGCTAGGCTTAATTGTGTCACTGTCACTTCTGGATCAGTTGCAGATCATCGGGGTGTACAGAGTGGTTGGATTGTTCAGGAAGATTTCCTCTTCATATGCATAGACTAACAATAATACTGGTGTACAAACCCAGAAGAAAAGAGCAGAGCCCACCTTCCTCTCACTTCTGGTACAAGTTCATCCCATACTGGAGGCAGTACTGATTTTGGAGTTGCCTCTACCTCTCTTAATAAAACCCTTACTCTAAGCATATTGAGCTTTGAAGTATTAGCCCATCTTGTATAAAGCTAGACCATGATCTGCAAGATATTAATATAGTCTTTACTTTATGGATAAGAATAGTTCATATTTTTTAAATGGAGTGTATGCTTTAAAATGTATAATTCATAAATTAGTTTACATATTGTGGGATCACCTGTCTCCCATCTTTTAACTTATTTGTCATATCCATAGTTTGAAGGCCACTGATACAGACTGTATTTCCTTTGCCATTTCTCTCAATGATTTTGAAGGTAAACCGCTACCCATTTTCAATTTTTCTGGTGGTTTCCTTTAAATTGTTTTGAAACAGATTTTGAACCTATTCTTCCTCTAATTATCAATATTATGAATGCATAGAATTTTACCTATTCACTTTGCTGTGTTAGATGTGAACTGAGCAATTTTCTCTCTCTCTACCATTTCCTGGATTTGTTGATATAATTTGGAGTCTTATATACAGTTTATGTTTATTGCGTCTTCTTTATTTATGTCTTCTTTTTCAGAAGTTTAAAAATATTTTCATTACAACGTTTGAGAGGAATGTCTTCAAGTGGGACCAAGTTCAAGTTTCTTTAAGAAAAAAAAAGAGTTTTGGTGGATGTCTTCTCATGTACCAGACTGGGACTGAATGTGGGAAACTTCAGGAAGGAAGAAGTTAAAGACATTCAGATGGTTAGCCTGATTCTTCTACTTTTTTATATTTTCAAGGCAATGTTACAACAAACATCTATATTGGTTAGAAATGCATTTGGTTGCCAATGAGAGCTAATCATGGCGACCTAAACAAATTATGAATTTGTCTCACTCTAATGTTCAGGAAAGATTGTAAGAAAGGGGTGCAGGGCAGGATGAGGGTCCTAATACTGGACATTGCAGGCCTCCTCTTTGACCCTTACACTTCAGTCATTGGCACTACACATCTTACAAATGTCTCTTGTTTCTGGTAGCATGGTTCCTTCCTCACAGTCTTAGGGCTTACCTGTTACTTGTTTTTCACAGCAATAGCTGTCCAGTCATCAGGAGACTGTTTCATTGGGTAAAATAAGTAGGAGGTCCAAGTTAGCTCAATGTTGCCACAGACGTCTCGTTCCCTTCCAAGAAAGTTTCCAGTGTTTTAAGGAACGGTGGTTCCATTGAGCAAACACCAATTTAGCTTGCAGCTTCATGAGAAATTTCTTCAAATGTACTCATTCACGGGACCAGCAGATGGCATAGCAGTTATGTCTCTGGACTCTCACATGGTGGACCACTGTTCAAGTCCCAGACTCAGTGGCTTGAAACTCAAGCCAGGTGCATGTGTGTCCAAGACCCTGATAAGAGAATGGAGGAGAAAAATTGTAGAATGGCCATTCTCCCTGGGTGGTGATTTCTCACTTTCCAACTCACTGTCTCTGTCTCTCTCTCTCTGGAAAGTACACACCCCCTAAGACAAAAAAAAAAAAAAAGAAATAAAAAAAAACCTCTACCAAGAAAAGAATTTACTCATTCATGTATGTTCACATGACAATATTTCAAAGTAAAATAACTGAATATATTATTTAACATTTACTAGCTTGATGTATAACCTTTCTTTTTTAAAAAATCATTTATTTAATTTTACATATTATTATCATTATTTTTTAATTTGGTACCGGGTACATTCACTGACAAGAGAGAGACAGAAAGAATGGCAGGGAAAGTGAGAAAGCCAATCACCATGGTCGGCCATGTGGGAGTCTAGCACCTTAACCACCAGTCCCCCACTGGCCCCATGTATAACTTTCAACATCTCCATGTCTGTGTAGAGGAACATGTAGATCTCATTTGTACCTTTGTATTGGGTTCCATGAATGTTAGAAATGGTCTTGGAAGCAAGAATACAGAGGCTTGTAAGAGACCTGCGTATAGAACTTTTTTATTTCCAAGTCCTGCTTGAGATTGTTCTTGTATATTTAACTACCACTTGATAATGAAATTGGACATGTCTGATTATATAATTTCAAGGACTAGAAAATTCCCAACTGAAAATGGTCAACACTATGGTTGTTTGGTATGTCCCACCATCAGGTATAAGTTCTATGAGAGTCTAGTAACAAACCTAACACTGTGTGAGATGAGAGCTGAAGAAGCCGTGGTTCTGCTTAACACTCACAGAACTTGTGTTATTTTCTTCCATCATTGTCTGCCCTAGCTCCACAAGGCAATCAGATGGATCAAGCTTCAAAGACCTTTGGGTATACGGAGCCATACAGGTCAATGGCAGAGCTGCTTCCATTGTAACCGGCACCAACAAGAGAATCTTCTCTTGCTTTGTACCCATTCAAAGTTGATTATGTGTTCTTGGGGATATACTGGCATAGAACACCCAACTGTGAATGTGTATTGCCTCCAAATGCCTACAAAGGGTGTGTCTCTTTCTTAATGACAATGCATTCAAGGTGAAATGATATGTTTTTATCTTTGAGGGAACATACTGATATTCCCCAAATGACTTCACTCCTAGAAACTGTACTAATATATCAATCCATTTAACTTTCATGGGGTTTATCTTCCATTTTCTGATACTTCTGTGTTGTATCAGGGCACCTACATACTGCTGTTGGCTTCTTACTACATCAAATCAGCATGATGTAATTCCTACTGTAATAGTTCAGCCTGACAGCAGACAAGCTGGAATGGGATCAAGCTATTACATTTCTCCTTCCCTGGTCTAATACCTTAATAATGTATCCCCACTAATATTTTCCAAGTATTTGCTGATACAAATTAACAAAACCTTTTGAGTACTTTGGTATGAAGCCTTCTCCTCTTAGATATGACTAATTGACCCCCGGGACATATAGGGACCTAGCCACAGGCCCATAGAACTCATATTCTGCTTCCTTCTACACACACTCCCTTGCTTTGTAATGCCCTCACATGTGGACAGTTCAACACACCTTCCTCTAATTAGTTCTCTTAGAGAGCAGCCTCCCCAGACTTTCAGCCCTCCTCAGGCTCCTTTTAAGGAATTCTGAAGAGGGAGCCTGCCTTACCTCAGCATATCAGTGAGCTCGGGGAAAACCAAGAATGGAGGAGACAAAGAGCTGAAGAAGTGGACACAAAAAAACTGTGGATTTTAATACTTTTCTGAGGCCCAGATAAACCAGCTGAAAAGACTCTGAGCTTTCTCATAAAATGAAACATGTTTATTGCCAGATAAAAACAAAGCGACTGCTTCTGCTTTTATTTTCTGTGGGAATAAAAGATTCATAATCTTCCTTTCCAAAGTACATAAATGCAAAAAGGGAACCTGGCATGTTGCAATAGTACATGATGGGAAGGGAGTAGACACCATAAATCAGCACACCCACTGACCTAGGGTCAGGAATGGGTGTGAAGATGGGGGAGCCTGTTCCAGAAAGCCGCAAAATGGAAGAGGATGCCAAATAAAGTGTGATGGCTTAGAAAGCTCTGCTTCAATGCCTTCACCAATAAGTGCTAGAAATGACTAAAGGCTCACTATTTCTTTCTTCCCACTTAAGATTGGCAGTGGAAGGACCAGCAGTTGGCATAATGGCTATGTCACTGGACTCCCATATAGTCGACCACAGTTCGAGTCCTGGACCTGGTGGCTTAAACTCGCCCTGGGTGCATGTGCATGCATACCCGAAATCCCAAGAGGAGAATGGAGGAAAAGGGACTGCGGCGTGGCCATCCCCTCTGGGGGATGATTTCTTGCTTTTTGTCTGTCTCTTTCTGGCGAGCCATAATCTTCCTTTCCAAAGTACATAAATGCAAAAAGGGAACCTGGCATGTTGCAATAGTACATGATGGGAAGGGAGTAGACACCATAAATCAGCACACCCACTGACCTAGGGTCAGGAATGGGTGTGAAGATGGGGGAGCCTGTTCCAGAAAGCCGCAAAATGGAAGAGGATGCCAAATAAAGTGTGATGGCTTAGAAAGCTCTGCTTCAATGCCTTCACCAATAAGTGCTAGAAATGACTAAAGGCTCACTATTTCTTTCTTCCCACTTAAGATTGGCAGTGGAAGGACCAGCAGTTGGCATAATGGCTATGTCACTGGACTCCCATATAGTCGACCACAGTTCGAGTCCTGGACCTGGTGGCTTAAACTCGCCCTGGGTGCATGTGCATGCATACCCGAAATCCCAAGAGGAGAATGGAGGAAAAGGGACTGCGGCGTGGCCATCCCCTCTGGGGGATGATTTCTTGCTTTTTGTCTGTCTCTTTCTGGTGAGCGCACACGCCCTATAGCAAAAACCTCTCCAAAAACAAACAGAAAAAAAAAATTGTCAGTAGAATAAAATCATTGCCAGTGAGATGCTTCACACAAGGCCTGATACGTTGTAGGCACTCGATCAACTGGCTTCGTGGTCACAAAGAGGAAAAGTCAAGGATAAGGCTCAGGTTTATGGTCCAGACCATCAGCTAAGAATGTGGACACAGATGTTAGAAGATGAAAATAATGAATGCAGCATTGGACACTTCTGTGTAAGACAGTGGAGACAGCTAGGGGAGAGTTGGACGCAGGGTTAAGCAGAGGGTGCCATGTGGAGATTTAGACTTGGGCATTAGTAGCATGTGAATGGTCATGGAAGACAGGGGAGTAGAACATCTATAAGAGAATGAAAATGAGATGGAAAGGGCCTATAACAAATCATTTGAAAACACCAATGTTTGAGGGAAGACATAGAAGAAAGACAGCAGTGAAGGGGTCCAAAGAGAATTGTGGAGGGAGAGGAGATACAGGGGATATCCAGAGAAACTGAGGAAAGGGTGTTTCAAGAAGGAGGGGTGTCAACAGGGTTCAATTCTGGGTGGTTTCTGTCCACCCAGTGATGTCCTGAGGAGTCCTGGTGGAGGAAGGCCAAGGAGTGAGTGTCTTGGAGCAAATGTGGAAGTGTGCCTGTGGTGTTCAGAGGGGCAGTAGGACAACTGGGGTATGAGGTCAAGGGGATGTTAAGAAGGGAGAGTACAGAAAATTATTAAGGGCTGAAACAAAGTCGTGGGCAGGGTCAGTGTAATATAGCAGACAAAGACGGAATATACTGGAGAGCAAGGTGCCTGAGAAGGTGGGGGACTTGAAGGAACTTGAGGCCCAGGTACAGAGACAAGAGATAGACACTATGCCCAGTGTCTTCTGTAGCAATAGGAGATAAAATGAGGACTAACATAAATAAATCCAGTTCAGTTAAAAGTTAGGTGGTAGAAATTTGAAGACAGTCCTTACTTGTTTGTTTGTTTTTCTGAAAATAAGTAGGATTGAGATTTCGGAGAATGTGAGAGAAGAGTCATCAGAATGATGAAGTGTGCTCTGGAGCTCATCTGCCTGGATTCTAATTCAGGTTCAGATACTTCGCAGCGCTGTGGACTTGAACGAAGGACATAGACTTTCTATGTCTCAGTGTCCCGATCTGTAAAACAGGTATAATACCTATCTCATAGAGCATTTATGAAGACGAAATGAGTTAAAACATGCAGAGTGCTTAAAATAGTGCATGGCACATAGCAACTTCTCAAACAAGGTTGTTGGAAAAGTCATGACATGTTTTTCTGTTTTTCTGTGCAAAAATATGCCATGACATTTCTGACAACCTAATATTATTCATTTTTAATAGTTTGGGGCTTTTAATACTTTTTTTTCTTTTTTAATGTTTATTTAATCCTTGAGAGTGAGTGAGAGAAGAGGAATCCTCAACAGGGTCTTCACATCACCATCTTCCCCCCAGTCCAGTAGCCAGCCAGGATCACCCTAAGAAAGGTACATTTGCCTTTCTCAGGGCCTGGATACTCATATTCATATTTGTAAATAAACTGCTTTAATTATTATTCCTACAGAGTTGGTTATTTCCTTTGACAGTTCACATGCATACACATCAGAGTGACAGAATGCCTCCTACAGTCTGATTACACCAGGATATCTTTTCTCCAATTCTCTAGTCCATCACGTCTTGGGCACTTATGTATGTGTCCTGCATGTTTCAGGTTGACCAGACTAGGGAGTTAAATCATGGGCACCATGTGAGATCTGGTTCTTTTGAGCAGCACATTACTACTATACTATAGCACCAGTTCACAAACCATAATATTTTCCCCTAGGTGTATGTGGAGTTTTCATTCACCTTACAATGTTTTCAGTAGTGCTTATCATTTTTCTAGTTTGAGTAAATTCTGAGTTAGGTGAAGAACTTGAATTACTCTTTCAGGTTCTATGCCTTAGAGGGTATAAGAGGATCTACCCAGATTCCAAAACCATCTCTTATCTTCTGAGAAACCCACAAATCCACTCATTTCATGAACCCAGATGGCCAACTCAAAGAAATAAAGTAAAATATTTACTTGACAGTTCCAATATCCTGGGAGCAGTTCTTCTGATAGGCATTGAAATATTATTCTTTAATGTTCTCCTTATATTTCTAGAGTTGTCTCTATGGAACTATACCCTATTTAGATATCCCATTAGCATAGTTTTCCATTGGTCTTCTGCCTGACCATATGTTCTCTTTTTAACCTTCTTCAACCAAAGTTATCCCTTTCCAAACATGATGTCTAGTCACTGTGGAAATGACATCCATGAGGCAAACAGATCTTTGACAGTCAATAAAAAGTTGTTTTCAGGATATCTTCTGAGTAGCCCAAATAGCCACGGGATCCAGCAGCTCCTCAAGCGTTTCTAAAGTTGGCCCTTGGGGCAAAGAACCTGTTTGTTCATGAGTACTCTTTTTGTTCCCATGGTATACCACGTTCCTAAACTATTTCCATTTTATTATGAAACTTTTCTGGGTCCTGCCCTTCCCATTAAAGAATTTCTCTGACATCACTCAAGATATTTCAGAATTAAATTTTATATCCTTTGGTAATAGGAGTAGTCTTAATTACATCCAGTATAAATCTGTCTCTCCAGTCACTGCTGGGTAACACAGATTTTTGCCATTAGTCCCAATCTGCGCTCCACATATGGTTATTATTTACATAATTTTATTTTTAGAAACACTTTAGCTAGCTTCTTATAAGATATTAATTAAAGTATCAATTTCCTTCTGTCTAAAAGACATTCTTTATAGACATTGTTTCAAGTTGACAACCTGTGTGAGCACAGACAATCTTACTACTTTTCACTTACATGTTTTATTAATAATGAAGTATGAGTTTACGTATGTTTTGTTTTGTACTTCTAGTAGAAGGCCTTCCCAATTCAGACACACTAGACATCCCCATAATACATTCAGGTGAAGGAGATGCAATTACTTCATATAAAATCTGTCCTAACATTGTGATTTTCAATCTTAATTCCATCAATAGTTGCATTCCTATATACTCCAAATGTAACTGTACCTTATTTTAAGACTTTCTAATAAGTTTGGTACTGCAATGCCTATAGGGAATCCCATTTTAGCAACTCATATGCATATGGCCTTGGATACACAGCCAGGGTCAGGCCAAGGCGTGGGTCCTGTGATCAGTACTTAACATGATTAGACTGTGGGATCATTGCCCCAGATATTTGGTGGTCAGGTTTCTCATTCTTGACCTTGCCTTTTATATTTTTTAATTCTTCAAAATTAGGATGAATAAAGATTTATTTATGGCCTTTGGTGTTATATGACAGCAAGGATTCCCATTGTTACACCTAATATCTAAGAGTTCTACCTTAAAACCTCTGTTTTGAGGGCCAATCAGTGGCAGGGAGGTTAGGGTAGCTGAGTCCCACATGGCCAACTGCCTGGTTTGGGTCCTAGACCCAATATCTTGACAATCATGTCAGGTAAGTATGCATGCATGCCCAAAATCTCAAGAAGAGAATAGAGATGAAGAAATTGCAGTGTGGCCATTTCTCCCTGGGATGGGGGTGGTAAACTAGCTAAATCTCTTTCTCTCGCTCTCCCTGGCAAGTACATGAGCCTTATAGAAAAACAAAACAACAAACTCTTTGTTTTGATTTTATTAACGTCCTCTTAATTCATCCCACTTCTTAAAAAACACTTAAAGATTTCCATCCTCTTGAAATGAATCCCTTGACTCTCCTATTTCTTTCCCCATTTTCTTGTGAATCACTCTAATTTTCCTCATTGTCTATTTTTTCAGCATAATTTGACTCCAAGCTTGGCCCAGACTCATAATCCACCCTCACATTCTCTTTTTCTTTCATTTTAGGCACTAATAATAATTTCCAAAGGATTGTACATTTTTCTTTTTACTTTGCATTACCTTATGCATCCAGTGAACCAATTCTTCAGGTGTTGGATTTATCATTT